GGATAAAGAGATACAACTGACGTTAAATTTTGGCATATTAAAAATACATGTGGTAATTTATTTTTACTCTTTCATATTTTTGGGTTTTGAGATGGGGTGTCACTCTATGCTCCAGGATGGAGTGCAGTGGTGTGATCATGGCTCACTCCAACTCTGACATCCTGGGCTCAAGCAATCCTCCGACCTCAGCCACCTGAATAACTGGGGCTACAAGGTGCGTGGAACCATGCCTGGCTAATTTTAAATTGTTATGTTTTGTTGTAGAGACGGGGTCTCGTTATATTGCCTAGGCTGGTCTCAAACTCCTGAACTCAAGTAATCCTCCCACCTGGGCCTCCCAAAGTGCAAGGATTACAGGCGTGAGCCACCACACCTGGCCGAATGTGATACCTTCTAAGAGAAACACCAAAGATAGCCTAGTTACTAGAAGAGGAGAAAAATAGAAAATGACTTAAAAAAAATTCAATCTAAATAAAAGCAAGAAATTAAAGAAAAAGGAATACAGTACAGGCAAGATAAATAAACACATTAAATGATGATACATCTAAACCAAATATATTGGTAATTATATTGAATGTAAATAAAAGAAAAATTTTAGACCTAAGAGAACAAAATCCAATTATATGGTATTTGCCAAAGATACACAGAAAACATAAAAATGCAAATTTAATAGTATTAACAATGGAAATAGTTATACCACACAATGGTTTGGATATACTAAATATCACATAAACCACATTTAAAGCAAAGAGCTTCAGCCAGGCTCAGTGGCTTGCACCTATAATCTCAACACTTTGGGAGGTCCAGGCAGGTGGATCACTTCAGGCCAGGAGTTCCAGACCAGCCTGGCCAACGTGGCAAAACTCTGTCTCAGCTAAAAATTCAAAAAGATTAGCTGGGCATGGTGATGCATGTCTGTAATCTCAGATACTTGGGAGGCTGAGGCACGAATTGCTTGAACCTGGGGGGGTAAAGGTTGCAGTGGGCCGAGATTGTGCCACCGCACTCCAGCCTGGGTGACAGAGGAAGACTCCACCTCAAAGAAAAAAAAAAAAAGAAAGAAAGAAAAAAAATCTAAAAAATCATTCCGAGCTTGCCATGCCAGGTGGCTCATGTCTGTAATCCCAGCAGTTTGGGAGGCCAAGGCAGGCGGATCACCTGAGGTCAGGAGTTAGAGACCAGCCTGGCCAACATGGTGAAACCTCTCTACGAAAAATACAAAAATTAGCCAGGTGTGGTGGCACACACCTGTAATCCCAGCTACCCAGGAGACAGAAGTTGCAGTGAGCCAAGACTGCACCACTGCACTCCAGCCTCAGGGACAGAGTGATGCTCTGTCTCTAAAAATAAAATAAAATAAATTTAAATATAAAAATAAAAATCATTCCTAGCTTGCCAGCTGTGAGCTGTCCTTTGTCAACTCCTGCATAAAAACTTACATGTTTTACATGCTTTTTGTATTTTTTATATTTAACAAAAATACAAAATAATCTTCCATAGGTAAAAAGGTAAAAATAATAATTTTATCCATCTATTCTTCCCTTTCAGCATAATTTTGGGCACCTATTATATGCCAAGCACCGTTTTGGATGCTGGAGACTGAAAATGAAATAAAATATTGCTTACATGTCAAATGGGGGAAATTAGTTTAAAAATTACACTTTTATGTAACAAGAGACAGCAGTAAACAAAACAAAGCAAAATCCCCATTCTTATGAGATTAACATTCTAGTGGCAAGATGGGCAATTAAATATGCAGTTGAAAATAAAAATATATAAATTATTAAATGAAAATTAAACTTGTAACACACCGATGACAATAAATGATCTACAAAATACACGACGAAATGGACAAACCTCACAAAAGTAACGTGGAACAAAAGGACTAGCCACAAGAATATACACTGAATAATTCTTTTATACAAAATACAAAAACAAGAAAATTCATTTATGTTGTTAGAGGTCAGGCTAGTGGCTATCCACTAGGGGTTAGTAATTGAAAGGGAACACGGGAACTTCTGCATCATTAGTAATATTTCTTGTGCTTGTAGAGTTTGTGAAAATTCAGTAAACTGTAGACTTATAATGTGTACTCTTCTGCATGTATAAATATCAAACGACAAAAAATTTAAAGATGATTGCTGATATCTGAGAAAAGCATGTTGCTTCCTGGAAAAGGGAATAAGAAGTACAAAGACCCCGAAGCAAAAGTGTTCTTTACAGAGCTCAAGGAGGCCAGTGTGGCTGCAGTGGCATGAAGGAGAGGGACAATGGCTGCAAATGTCAGAACCAGGTGGATGGTAGGGAGCACAGATCATGCAGGAGCTTTTAGGTCACATAAAGACTTCAGTCTAGGAAGCCATAGGACAGTGTTGAGCAGAGGAGTGCCAGGATGTGTCTGAACACTTTAATAATCATGTGGGCTATTACATTAAGACCAGGTAGAACAAGGTCAAAAACAGGGAGACCACTTTGAAAGCTAATCCAGTGAACAGAAATAGAAAAGTGGTCATATTTTAACACGTTTTAAAGAAAAAACAGGATTTTCTGATGGATTACATTTGGGGCATGAAGCTATGACCTGAAAAACCAGATGGTATAACCTGTCATTTGCCAGAACAAGGCAGACTACAGAAGAGCAGTTCGGTGTTAGTTATGGTAGGGAAGGGAGAGCAAGAGTTCCTTTTTGGACATGCACAAGCAGCACAAGTGGAAATGTCAAGTAGACAGCTGGATACATAATTATTGGGGAGACCAAAACCCATGTGAAAGGCTAACAAGTTCATTCATCCCAAAGGCAGATGGATGTGAGTACTGATGCAAGTAGCTTGGCAAATCTAGTGTAGAAGTATGTAGAAATTCTCTTCCAATAGCTTCTATTTTCTCAGTAAAATAAAAAAGGAAGGCCATCAGTTAGTAGAAGAATTGCTGGAGGTTTGCAGGGGATAACAAAAATATGACATATTCATGAAAGAAAGAGAACGAAATAGAAATACAGTAGGACTGGCAGGCAGTGAGAGGTACACACGAGGCCAGTGCTCATGACCTAAAAATCAGTCAGTCACCTTGGTGTGTGTGTGTTCCTCCAATCATGCTGAGTTGCCTAGAGGCAGGCAAGGAAAAAGTGGAGAATTAAGCTTTGGTTCCTATTTTAACACCTTATCTATCATCAGATTTGTATGATGACAGGCCTCAGCCACATTCATATAGCTGGCAAAAATGTCTACAGATCATTGAGTTCATCTCTTTTGCCTTCAGGTTAAGATTCAACCTAAACTGACGCATGAGAGATGGGTGGTCACACTATTAAAAACCAAATGAAAAGAGGACTTCAGGAAGAAAAGAGTTATAGACAACACTGAGAAATTCTACAAAACTGAGAATTTCAACCCTGAGAATTTCTACAAAATTCTCCTGTGTCTCTGTCCCAAATAGATAATCTGCTATCTCATTTAATATCTTTTAAACTTTAACTGTTTTAAAACTTAAGAAAAACAGAGACACAGGCCTCTTCAACAGCTATCTAACAAACCTCAACCTGCCCAAATTGAATCTATCATCAAACATTTCTAAAATTATAAACTATGGCAAGAATGGTCTGACACAATGGCTAATGCCTATAATCTCAGCACTTTGGGAGGTGGAGACAGGTAGATCACATGATCTCAGGAGTTTGAGAGCAGCCTGGGCAACATGGTGAAATCACTTCTCTACAAAAAAGTACAAAAATTAGCTGGGCATAGTGGCACATGCCTGTAGTACAAGCTACTCAGAAGACTGAGTTGGGAGGATCGCTTGAGCCTGGGAGGCGGAGGTTGCAGTAGTCATGATTGCACCACTGCACTCTAGCCTGGGTGACAGGGCGAGACAGTCTCAAAAAAAAAAAAAAATTATTATGTATATATGGCAAGGATGACACAGTAATAGCCAAAACTCCTTAGATGTTTTAATAAGTGCTTTAATAATTATAATAATGTTAATGAATGCAGCTTTTTATGAGACAGTAGAGGGGCAGGAAGTATATTTTTTAAATACTTTAACAATACAGAAGCCTAAATCGCTTAGGAAATGAGTACTATCATACAACTCTCTCAAGGCAAAGAGAAACAACTTTCCTAAAAATCAGTGATCCAAAATAAAAACTTTTGTCCCAGAGACCTTGTCTCCCAAGATCCCACCTGAGGCAATACTGAAGGCATTAGGGGACAGAGCACACTCTTGAGTAAGAGGTCTTACACAGTATCAACAAATTATGCGATGGCACTGGAGCAAATAAACATAATCCTACATTAGCTTACTCAGGAATTCTCAACCTCAACACCACTGATATTTTGGTCCAGATAATTCTTTTTTGCAGGGAGGCTGCCCTAACATTGCAGGATGTTTACCAGCGTCCCTGACTTCTGCCCAGTAGATGCCTATAGTTTCATCCCATGCCTTCGAGCTGTGACAACCAATAATGACTCCAGTTATTGACAAATGTCCCTGAGGGGCAAAACTGCCACCAACTGAGAATCACTAACTTAGGTATAATGTTTTTAAGACCTCAGATCTCTCTTACAGGCTGGAAACAAACCTATCACAAATCTGTATAGCATTAGCTTTTCTAGTGCATCACTGAGTAAGCCCTGCAGAAAACTCAATTATGCCAGAAGCTTGTCAAATTTTAAAAAGAAAAAAAAAAACCCTAAAGGAACATCCAAATTTGGCAAGGAAGAAAACTTAATGTTTTGATTGGAATTAATTTTTTGATCCACTACTGAGCTGTAGGATTAGAGATAATTTATTATATAGAGACAACAGAATTGGCTCTTTTGTAAAAAGCTAATTTGCTGATATAGATTTGAATCTAAGTAAGTGATTCATAGGTAAAACTATGAACTTTTCTCCCTAATGCCTCATTCTCTGTGGGTAATTAATGAAAGAGAAACTTTGCTTGAGTGTTTCTGGGCATCTTGTCTCCTACAACAGGTGTCAAATTTCTCCAGGTGAATGCTTACCGGTAAGGGATTGGATAAGGAATGTTGCGGTGAGGATCGTGCAACTGGTGGAACACTTCTGCCAGGGCTGGTTCCTGGCCCGCTTCCCCCAGCAAACTGGCCAACAGGGAAAAATGGATATGAATAATTCAAAACAGTACTATGCTTCAGATAAGGAGAGTAAAAGATTAATACACAAACAGGTCTTAATTATATGGCCCCTTTAAGTTAATACATCTTACCCTAGAGAAAAAATGCCACGTAAGTCAAATTCTGCTAATTTGAGATTTTTAAGAAGGAGCTCCAGCAGATACATATCAAGATATAAAGAAAACATGGTTAGAAAGCTGAAGGTACACATGGTTTTGAAAGGACACGAGAGAAGAATGTTTTCCCTTCTTGTCTCAAAATACACGAAGCAGAAATGCAGTGGTGCAGTGATGTTAGTGTCTTCTTTAGTAACCACTAATGACGGGTCAGGGAACTCACTATATGTTCCACTGGACTAAAGGGAGGAGGACACAAGAAGAGTCCAAGTCATTCCACCTCAATCTTTATAAGACACAAAACCTCGTCTGGCCAAGAGAAAAATCATCTCATTTGTGAATTTTTACATCATCACAGTCAAGACACATAATAAATTTAAATTTAGGAAGTCAGCAGCAGTTTTCTTTTATTGAGAGATGGGGCAGCATTGATTGATGAAGATGGGGAGGAAGAGAAGAAGAGTACAGTAAAGGCAAAACATAACTTTTTTTTTTTTTTTGGAAACACGGTCTCACTCTCTGTCACCCAGGCTGGACTGCAGTAGATCATGGGTCACTGCAGCCTGGACTTCTTAGGCTCAAGTGATCCTCCCACCTCAACCTCCCAAGTAGCCGAGACTATAGGTGTGTGCCACCACAGCTGGCTAATTTTTTCTATTTTTTGTAGAGACAAGGTTTCCCAATGTTGCCCAGGCTGGTCTTGAACTCCTGGGTTCAAGAGATCCTCCCATCTCAGCCTCCCAAAGTGCTGGGATTACAGGCATAAGCCACCTCACCTGGCCAAAATATGACTTTCTAAAGCCTCAAATAAACACAAGGATTTAGGTTTTTTTAAAAAAAAAATCACTACAGAGTTCGTTTTGGGGTTTTTTGTTTTTTCAAAAAATGTAACTTACCTCAAAGTAATCACTAATTTTATGTCCCCTAGGAGTGCCTTTCCCTGAAAATGAAACCAAAGTAAATACAGTTTTTCCAATATATATGTAAACCATCATTCACTAAAATGTACTATACATTCAGTAACTACATACATTGCTATAAACCCGTGTCAGCTGTACTTGTAACAAATGAGCCAAAATACCTTAGCCTAAGAACAGACTATTTCCTCCATAAAATAACAGGCTAAACAAGCAGTGAAAGGAAGAATTTTTTCACAGCTTTAAGATTCAGTAATTTTTCTTGTCACTTTGGAAGAATTTTGCTCCCAAAGACACAATGAATTATCTGTAGATTTTAAAAGATAAGAAGGATGCAACAAGACTGGGCTTTCTATTCCTTAGAATGGAAGAAAAAAAGCCAAGTCATTTTTTTTCGTTCTTTGAGTATATAAAGATATTTGGCATTATACCCATCATGCTTACAGATTTATCCCAGTGGGTTCCAATATTCAACTAAACAACTGCCACGAAGAGCAGCAGGCAGAAAGGGAAGTCATATAAATAAAGCATTTCCAGTTGGCTGTCATTAACAAATCACTGATCTAACACAAGACAGAGTTAAAACTCTAACCTCTTTTTTGTACAATATATGCTTGGTGTAAAGAAAAGCCTGTGGTTTAGAGGATTGTTAACTTACAACAGGGAAAACAAATGAGTCCCCGAAGAACTAACACAGTTTTGTCAGGTGTATGTCAAATGGCAAGTCTGTAATAAACAGTCTGATATTCCCTTAAGATACACAAACTTCCTTTATCAGGAATCCCTGGGTACAAACTAATTATGTAGTATAAGTTAGAAAATTCTATCTAAGTACATTAGAACTGAGTACTTTTGTTGATATGAAATTACTACTACCTTGGCTAGTTTCATATGGTTCAGCTTTTCTTTTCCGATTTCGCTGGTCATTCTGCTTTTTCTCGGGAGTCTGTTAAATACCATATACGTCACAATTAGCATTTTGGTAAATTTTTCACGTTAGGAAAAACAGTGAGTACACACAAAATATTGAATATATAAACAGATATAACTGGCCCAGACAAGTCCTGAATCATTGTCCTCCTCTTAAAACTGAGTATAACATCTGTCTTCTGCACAGGCAAAGAAAAAAAAAAAAAAAAAACTGAGTATAACAAAGAGTACAGGGTCTAGAAGCAAACCATCCATACAATTTTTGGTAAACTGCTTAAAATATCAGAGCTTCAGTTTATTTATCTGTAAGTCAGAGGTGCTACAAAACTTTTGTGAGATGTTTAACAGAGCACAAATGTAGGACAAATGTCCACCACACGTTAGGCTCTCAGAAAACTGCTGTTACAGTCCTTCTACTTTAAATCCAATCTTTCTTCCAAAAAGGAAATATCCGCATAGTTTTATCTAAATGCAGAGTAGCTGGCTGCAGACTTACACTGAGACCCATATCCAGGCAGCTAGGTTATATGCCTAATAATTAAAAAAAAAAAATCTTGTGCATGAGGGCTGTGGAAAGTTAAACAAATGAACAAAAAATCTTGGCCAGGCGCTGTGGCTCATGTCTATAATCCCAGCACTTTGGAGGCTGAGGTGCAAAGATGGCTTGAGCCCAAGAGTTCCAGATCAGCTAGGCAACACAGCAAGGCCCCATCTCTATAAAAAATATTTTAAAAATTAGCTGGGCATGGTGGCACCTAGCTACTAAGGAGGCTGAGACAGGAGGACTGCTTGAGTTCAGGAGTGTCAGATTACAATGAGCTATGACTGCACCATTGTACTCCAGCATGCATGACAGAGGGAGGCCCTGTCTCAAAAAATGTTGTAAAAATAAAATCAGTCAATCAATCTTATTTTCCATGTAAACAGGAACAATATTGCAGATTTCTATCCTTTATCAATGGCAACTATGCAAAAATTTTAAAATATGTAAAATCCATACATGATTATAATAATAAAAACCCACGAGGGCCATATCAGACCTATATGCAAAGAGCACACAACTGAAAGGGGAGCCACTGACACAGAGTCTAACAGCATCCTGGGAGTTAATTAAGCAGTGCTATCTTTTCTTTGAGATTCGGGTCTGTCTCTGTTACCCAGGCTGGAGTGCAGTGGTGCCATCACAGCTCACTGCAGCCTCATCTACCTGGGTGCAAACGATCCTCCCACCTTAGCCTCCAAGTAGCTGGGGCCACAGGTGTGCACTACCACCCCCTGCTAAGTTTTTTTGTATTCTTTTGTAGAAACAAGTTCTCCCTACGTTGCCCAGGCTGGTCTTAAACTCCCAGCCTCAAGCAATCTGCCCACCTTAGCCTCCCATAGTGCTGGGATTATAGGTGTGAGCCACCAAGCCCAGCCCAAAAGTGGAAGTATGAAAAGTCTTGCCATGAACGTAGCTTCTTACCTCTACTTCTTTATCACTCAAGGATCCCACACTGCACAAGCTCTGGTTGGAAGACTCACTATTAAGTGGTCCCTGAAAGAAAAAAAAAAATCATAATAAATAAATGTTCATTTAAGAGGATAGCAAAACTGAAGGACAAGACTAATTTTCTTTTTTTAATTTTTTCTTTTTTTTTTTTTTTTTTTTTTTTTTTTTTTTTTTTTTTTTTTTTTTTTTTTTTTTTTTTTGAGACGGAGTTTCGCCCTTGTCGCCTAGGCTGGAGTGCAGTGGTGCGATCTCAGCTAAAGCAAGCTCTGCCTCTCAGGTTCAAGCACTTCTCCTGCCTCAGCATCCTCAGTATCTGGGATTACAGGCACCCGCCACCACGCCCAGCTCATTTTTGTATTTTTAGTAGAGATAGGGTTTTGCCATGTTGGCCAGGCTGGTCTTGAACTCCTGACCTCAGGTGATCTGCCCATCTCGACCTTCCAAAAGTGCTGGGATTACAGGCGTGAGCCACCGTGCCCGGTCGAAGCCTGATGATTTTGATGTCTAAGTCAGGTCAGAGAAGGCAAGAGTTAACTGCAACAACTTCAAGCCAATCTGAATAGAACCCAACTATGGTGCTGCACCCTCCATGTTAAACTTACCTAGCATTATTTTCACTTCTTTTATAAACTCTGTACTCATGTGCAGATTTTCCCTTCTATTGCACTTCCACATGTACTGAATTGATTGTTTATGGTAAATAAGCAAAAGAAATCAACACTCTTGGTCTCTTATAACACAAAAGAACAGTACCTGAAAGTTGAGATGTTAAGGGGTGTATTAAGAGTTGCTTATGAAGCATGATCAAGGCTCAGAATGAAGGAAATGCTTTTCTAAGCTATGCCCTATGGAGGCATGAATGCTGGCTCAAAAAATTTATAGGAGGTTGACACTGAGTCTAACAGCATGAGGAGGCTCCACTGCCTGCTCCTTGGTGGAAGTGGCAAAAATTATCAAACGACAAGCACTCAAAGCCTCTAGAAATGATCCTAAACGCAAACAGGAAATGAAGAAACAGGCTGAGCACAATGGCTCATGCCTGTAATTCTAGCATTTTGGGAGGCCAAAGTGGGCAGATCACTTGAGGTCAGGAGTTCGAGACCAGGCTGGTGAACGTGGCGAAACCCCATTGTTACCTAAAGTACAAAAATTGGCTGGGCATGGTGGCTCACATCTGTAATCCCAGCACTTTGGGAGGCCGAGGCAGGTGGATCACCTGAGGTCAGTTCGAGACCAGTCTGGCCAACATGGTGAAACCCTGTCTCTACTAAAATGGTGAAACACTGTCTCTACTAAAATTAGCCAGGTGTGGTGGCAGGTGCCTGTAATCCCAGCTACTTGGGATGCTGAGGCAGGAGAACTGCTTGAACCCGGGAGGTAGAGGTTGCAGTGAGCAGAGATCGCGTCACTGCACTCCAGCCTGGCACCTGGTGACAGAGCAAGACTTTGTCTCCAATAAAAAAAAAAAATTAGCATGGCATGGTGCCACATGACTGTAATCCCAGCTACTTGGAAGGCTGAGGCACGAGCATCGCTTAAACCCAGAAGGCACAGGTTGCAGTGAGCCAAGACTGCACCACTGTATTCCAGCCTGGGTGACAGAGTGAGACTCCGTCTCAAAAAAAAGAAAAAAAAAAAAAAAAAAAAAAAAAAAAAAAAAAGAAGAAGAAGAAGAAGAAACATTTATTCAATAAACTCTAAATTCAGTCAGAAAAGTGACAGGCTCCCCTTCCTCCAAAATTCAAGCCTGAGGACTCTCTCTCTCTTTTTTTTAATATATTTTTATTTTTTTTAGAGGGATTCTTGCTCTTGCTCTGTTGCCCAGGCTGGAATACAGTGGAGCAATCTTGGCTCACTGAAACTTCCACCTCCCGGGTTCAAGCCATTCTCCCACCTCAGCCTCCCGAGTAGCTGCGATTACAGGGACGTGCCACCACGTCCAGTTAATTTTTGTATTTTTAGCAGAGAAGGGCTTTTACCATATTGACCAGGCAGGTCTCAAACTCCTGGCCTCAAGTGATTCGTCTGCCTTGGCCTCCCACAGTACTAGGATTACAGGGATGAGCCACTGCCCCAGCCCTGAAGGTTCTCTTTATTCCTGGGAGGAACTCGACTTCAGTGTTTCTCATCCTGCCCTGTCTTCTGTTGCTGAGGCTAAGTCTCAGGCAAGCATCATCAGAGGTAGGGGCTCCCTTCTTCTGCTCAATCCCTACTTGTGGAAAAGGGGCTCTTTCATAGGCATGGCACACAGAATACTGGGAACCCAACACCCTTTAACCCAGCTCACGGGACAGTGGTTCCACGACAGGAGAGACAAACCAAGAGGACCCCAGGCTGCTGACCTGCCCCATCCCCTCCTAGAGCCAGGGTAGCATTCACAGCAAAGCTTGCAATTATCCCTATCTCTACTACTGGAACTCTGGCTCAGATACTTTGCCTAAAGGAAGAAGAAGGAACACAAGAGTATCTCAAAGGACCTGACTTCACTTGCAAGAGTGTGACAAGTTTCAGTCTAAGGGTGTTCCCAAGAACAATGGGGGTTGTGGTACTAGGCAAGTGGAAAGAGATTCATGGATTTAATGAAGATACAGCCTAAACTGTAGACTGGATAGTTTGTAGGAGAGATCCAGGGCATAAAACAGCCACAAGGATCCTTCTCTTTATAATTAATGACTAGTTCTGCAAGGTTGTAGGATACAAGATCAATATACAAAAATCAGTTTTTTTATACTTGCAATGAACAATCTGAAAATGAAGAAAATAATTCCATATACAGTAGCATCAAGAGGAATAAATAATTTTATAAATAATAACTTATTATTGTTTCACTGTGTTAGCCAGGCTGATCTCAAACTCCTGACCTGAAGTGATCCACCCACCTCCGTGTCTCAAAACTGCTGGGATTACAGGCGTGAGCCATCATACCTGACCCCAGCTGACTGACTTACAGAAACTGGTAGGCAAATTCCAACATGCATATGGAATTGCTAGGAACCAATCCTGAAAAAGTAGGAAGGCTCATACTTCACCGCCTAAAACAAAGCCACAGCAATCAAGACAATATAGTACTAGCATAAGGTTAGATCAATGGAATAGAAAGTCCAGAAATAAATCCATAATTGTGGTCCAATGATTTTTGACAAGGTTGCCAACACAATTCAATGAGCAGCAAATGGTGCCAGGAGTAGATAGCCACAGGTAAAACAATGAAGTGTACCCTTCCTTCACATCAATATAAAAATTAACTCAAAACGGGCTAGGAGTGGTGGCTCACTCCTATAATCCCAGCACTCTGGGAGGCCAAGGTGGGTGGATCACTTGAGCTCAGGAGTTTGAGACCAGGCTGGACAACATGGTGAAACCCCATCTCTACCAAAAATACAAAAAATTAGCCAAGCATAGCAGTATGCGCCTGGCGCCCCAGCTACTTGGAGGCTGAGGTAGGCAGATTGCTTGAGCCCGCAAGGCAGAGGTTGCAGTGAACCAAGAGGGCACCACTGCATTCCAGCCAGAGTGACAGAGCCAAGACCCTGTCTCAAAATAAAAGTCATGAGTAAAATAAAAACATGTTTATGTTACTGCTGATATACAGAAATTATTTATTTTCGTGATTTTTATTTAGCCAGTCACTTTACTGAATTGTCTTCTTAATCATCTTCAGTTTGTTCCTTTTTTTTTTTTTTTTTTTTTTTTTTTTTTGGAGACAGAGTCTTGCTCTGTAGCCCAGGCTGGAGTGCAATGGTGTGATCTCAGCTCACTGCAATCCCTGCCTCCCAAGTTCAAGCAATTCTCCTCTGTCAGCTTCCCAAGTAGCCAGGATTACAGTACATGCACCACCACGCCTAATTTTTTTGTATTTTTAGTAGAGCAGGGTTTAATCATGTTGGTCAGGTGGATCTGGAACTCCTGCCTTCAAGTGATCCACCTGCCTGACCTCCCAAAGTGCTGGGATTACAGGCATGAGCCACTGTGCCCGGCCCAGTTTCTTTCTTTCAATTTAGTTGTCTAGGTATAGAATCATAGCATTTGTAAACAACAAGGTTTTATCCTCCTTTCCATAACTCATACCTCTTATTTGTTTTCCATTTTACTGCTCTGAATAAAACACAAAATAATAATCAAAGAAAGCATTTTTCTGTTTTTCATTTTCATGGTAACATCTCTAGAGCTTACCATTAAAAACTACATTAATCCATTTATGCCTCAGGTTGCAAATTTTTCCCGTGAAAAATCAGCCCTTGGCAATGACCTTGAGCAGGATATAAACAACTCCCACAAGCTTAGCCTTCCAATAACGGGACAGCAGGCATAAATGGGCTAAGACCCCAAACGGACAAAACAATCTTGAAAAGGAACACAGTTGAAGGTCCCACATTTCCTATTTCAAATCTTATTACAGGCGAGGCGCAATGGCTCATGCCTGTAATCCCAAGCACTTTGGGAGGTTGAGGTGGGTGGATCACCTGAGGTCAGGAGTTCGAGACCAGCCTGGCCAACATGGTGAAATCCCATCTGCACTAAAATAACAAAACTTAGTAGGGTGGAGTGGTGCAAGCCTGTAGTCTCAGCTAGTCGGGAGACTGAGGCAGGAGAATCACTTGAACCTGGGAGGTGAAGGCTGCAGTGAACCAAGGTTGCACCACTGCACTCTGGCCTGAGTAACAATGAGACACTGTCTCAAAAAAGAAGTATAATAATAAATAAAATTACAAAGCTATAATCATCAAAACATCATGATATTGGCATTAAAGACAGACATATATCAATGGAAAAGAATGGACAGCCAGAAAGAAATCCTCACATACATGGTCAAATGATTTTCAATTAAGGTGCCAAGACTATTCAAAGATGAAAGTCCATTTTTTCAAAAAATGGTGCTGGGGGCCAGCATGGTGGCTCATGCCTGTAATTCCAGCACTTTGGGAGGCCAAGGTGAGCGGATCACTTGAGGTCAGGAATTCGAGGCCAGCCTGGCCAACATGGTGAAACCCTGCCTCTACTAAAAATCCAAGAATTAGCTGGGTGTGGTGGCGCACACCTGTAAT